TTATAATCAAATTAACCCTAACAAGATTATTAATATCTTATTAAGCGTGATTACAAGTACAAAATTCCCTTTAAACATGCATTAAAGGTGTGATCAAGCAATAACAATAAATATATCATCAACATAATAAATAATCATAAAAATAATTATAATCATCAACATGTTCATGTTAAAGCATAATAATAATAGCAAGATCCTAGGCATGATACTAACAAGATTAATAGCATGTCACTGAGCATTAAAAATCAAATCTTTAACCCTAACATGATACTAACAATCATAAATATTAGGAAGAACATAAAAGGCATCGTACTTTTAATCATACTTGATATTAAAATTACCCTAGACATGATACTAGGAATCATAATAACAATCTAAGCATGATTTCTACATCATAATAACAATAAAACCATTAAAGTACTTACTTTGATGCCTCGTACCTCTTTCTAATAACAAAATACACACGTTAGTAACTTAAAGGAAAATAATAAATCAAAACAACTAAATTAAATAATTGAAAGAGAGATTTGGGACCAAACCCTCAGAAATTAAACCTTTCACATCTAGGGCGAAGACAACTTCGAATATGGCTAGGTGTTTCTGGATCTAATGAATGCGGAATTTTGTATGTAAAAAGCTAGTTTAGAAAAAGAAAGAGAGAGAGAGATGGTGAATGATTAAAGAGAATGAGAGAGAATTGAAAACTGGTTATAGGTAAAAACTGGTTGTAGGTGAATGAAAACGGAGTTTTTACGACGTTATTTATAGAGAAAATCAGTCAAAAAGATAAAATTACTAAAACAGAGTCTGGCGCATAGAAAACAGAACCATCGCCAGCGCTAGCTGTTGGCGCCAGGCGCCAACACTAGCGGCAGGCGCCAACACTAGCGGCAGGCGCCAATGCTGGCGCCAGGCGCTACAGCTGGCGCCAAGCGCTGATATTAGAAATTCACGCGTTTTCTAAAATCAGATAAAAATTGCTGTTCAGGAGGATAAAATCGTATTTCCCTCAAAAATGCTCTTTGACTTTAATTAAAACTCTGAAAAGTCAACAAAAGTCAATTTATCGATGCTAATTGAATTAGGAATGAAAAGAACCTTCTACAAGAATCTAGAAGACTATTAGGCCCTCCCCTAGATCATTGGGTCGTACATAAGGCTCAAACCGGGCTCAGTTTGGTAAATTGGCCATAACTTCCTCAATATTCATCGGAATTGGGCTTATAATATATCGTTGGAAAGCTCTTGTCAAGCCCTATCCAACTACACTATTATTGGACCCATATCATGGACCAACCAAACTGGATTGACTGTTTTCTTAAAATATGTTTTCAAAAACAGAGAGAAGAGAAAAGGATTAAAACTTTCCGCAACACTAAACTTTCCACACTTTCGCTTCATTCGATTATGATTCGACGTGAAAGGTACTCATCACTGGGTTTGGTTTTGGGGAGACACAAATGGGTGTCTACAGTACCTATTACGTAGGAAATAAAGAAGCCCTAAACTAAGTAACTCACTATTTCACCCTATTCACTTAGGATTCGGGTCATGTCAGTACGGGTCGGGTCGATTCGGGTCAATCAATTTGAGTTAAAATCGGGTCGGGTCACTTCGGGTATCGGGTCGGGTCAAGTTCGGGTTTCGGGTCGATTTTGGGTCAGGTCATTCGGGTCGGGTCACTTCCGGTCATCGGGTCCTGTTCGGGTCAACTCATTTTCGGGTCGGGTTCGGGTCGGGTTAGTTCGGGTTTGGGTCATTTTCGGGTCAATGATTTTGGGTCAACTTTTGGGTTACGGGTCGGATCAATCGGGTCGGGTCAGGATTGCCAGGTTTAGCAGTGAAGCTATTCGTGCTTCTCGTTCTTCCTTTCTTCTCCCAATTTTACGCGTGTCGTTTGTCACTCTCTTAATAACGGTTGCTCATTTATTTGGTATTTTTCTCTCTCCTTTGATCGATATGTGAATACCCTGTTGTTTGTTTGTCTAAAATTTTTTATTTTGGGAACTGGCTTTGTTTCTAATTGATTTTTAGGGTTTTAAACTAATTTTCCGCTACTTAGCAAAACTTAAGGGGTGTTAAAACTTTGGTCCGGACCGGAAAAATGGACCGGACCAGACCAAAATAATCAGCCCGGTCTCTGGTTCGAGAAATTTGTTTTCCCGATCTTCAGTCCGGTCCAAAACCCTATAAAAACCGGTCTTGGACCGGACTGGTTTTTTTTTTTCTTTAAAATGATATATAAAACCTTTAATAATGATTAAGATTATCCTTAACAAACTTGAAAATTTTTAGTCATAAAGCTTTTTTGTACTAAACATACAAATAAAAACGTTAAAATATTGTTTTTCCTTTATTTTTTTCGAGTTTTCCATAAATTAGTTAAAATTTAGGAAATTTTTTAATAAAAATTCTAAAATCATTCCAAACCGGCTCGGTCTTGGTTTTGAATCGATTTTTCAGTCCGGTCCAAGTTTGGTCCTTGCTTAATCGATTCGTTCTTTGGTTCTTAAAATTTATTTTTTCGGTCCTCGGTCCGGTCCGGGTCGGTCCGGTCTTGGACCGATGAACAATCCTAAGCAAAACTATGGCTTTTCCTCCTCGTTGGCTTTGATGTTACTACACGTCGTCTTCCATTTTTCACTCACTTTGATCATGCAATGTTCAATTACTAAATGTTTGTTTTTTTTTTTAGTAAATGTTCATTTTATTTCTAGAAAATGTTCATTTTTATAGTGCGGGACCAGCCAGCTATGGCTTGTTGCTCGTGAGACCAGCTAAAAATTTGCGGTGGGCTAAGTCTTGTCAAACTAAAGCCCATGGGCTTGTCCCATACCCGGTCCAAGTCCATCTTTCCGAACTTTGGACTATTACGAAAATAGAATTTAGATCTTTGATGACAATTTGATATTTTGAATTTTGTAAAGATTTTCATGACATAAAAAAAATGGATAATTTGATCCAATTTCCAGTTTCCACCACTAGATTCTGGCACTTCAGCAATGATCATAGCTGCCCCAACCACCCCACCACCCCACTCTCTCTCCTCCTCCAGCACAACCACCACCAACAACAACCATGTCCACCACCTTCTCTCTCTCCTCAATCAATGCTCCTCCATGACTCAGCTCAAACAAATCCACGCCCAAACACTGCGCACAACCCCACTTCACCACCCTAAACACCTCCACTTTCTTTACAGCAGAATCCTGCACTTCTCTTCTTCCTCTGACATTCATTATTCTCTCACACTTTTCTCCCAAATTCACAACCCCAATTCCTTCATTTGGAATACCCTTATTAGATCTTGCGCAATCAGTAATACCCATAAAAAATTAGCCTTTCAATGTTACCGTAACATGTTGATTGATGGGAATGTTAACCCAGATAAGCATACTTACCCTTTTGTTCTAAAAGCTTGTGCTTACTTGTTTGATGAATTTGCAGGTAAACAGGTTCATACCCATGTTTTAAAACTTGGGTTTGGGTCTGATGTGTATGTTAATAACAGTCTTATTCATTTTTACGCTTCTTGTGGGTACTTGGATTGTGCACGTAAGGTGTTCGATGAAATGCCTGAACGAAGTGTTGTGTCGTGGAATGCGATCATTGATGCATTCGTTCGGTCTGGGGAGTTTGATGTGGCGTTGAGATTGTTTAGAGAGATGCAGGGGTGGTTTGAGCCTGATGGGTATACTCTGCAGAGTATTATTTCTGCTTGTGCTGGTTTAGGAGCTTTGTCTTTAGGGGTTTGGGCTCATGCTTATGTTTTGAGGGTTTGTGATGCGAAGCTGGGTAGTGATGTTTTGCTGAATAATTCATTGGTGGAAATGTATTGTAAATGTGGGATGTTGGACTTGGCTAAGCAGGTGTTTGATGGCATGGTTAAGCGCGATGTTAATTCGTGGAATAACATGATTCTTGGACTTGCTATGCATGGAAAATCTTTGTTGGCGTTGGAACATTTTGATGAAATGACGAATGTTGAGGGGCTAGTGCCGAATGCAATTACATTTGTTGGCATTTTAAGTGCATGTAATCATGGTGGCATGGTTGAATTAGGTCGCGAGTATTTTGACAAAATGGTTAGAGATTACTCCATTGAACCTCGGCTAGAGCACTATGGATGCTTCATTGATCTTCTTGCCCGTGCAGGATTAATAGAAGCAGCTTTAGATATAGTAACAAACATGCCCATGAAACCTGATGTGGTTATATGGAGAAGTCTTCTTGATGCTTGTTGCAAGAAAAATAAAGGCATACAACTGAGTGAACAAGTGTTTGAAAAGATCCTTGAAGCTGAGGGAGAAACCTCCAGTGGTGTTTATGTGCTTCTCTCCAGGGTTTATGCCTCAGCTTCTCGATGGAATGAAGTCGGTCTTATAAGAAAGTTGATGGCTGATAGAGGCGTAAAGAAAGAACCTGGCTGTAGTTCCTTGGAAATTAATGGCATCCATCATGAATTTTTCGCAGGGGACACTTCTCACTCTCAAACGGAGGACATTTACCGGGTTCTGGATGTGATGAATCAGAGACTTCACACGGCAGGATATAGGCCTGAGATTTCACAAGCACCCTTGGTGGATGGTGAACATGAGAATCAAAAGCAAGATGCACTTAAGCTACACAGTGAAAGACTTGCCATTGCATTTGGACTCTTAAATCTAAAACCTGGTGTTCCCATTCGCATATTCAAAAACCTTCGTGTCTGTAGTGACTGTCATGAAGTCACCAAACTGATATCTAAGATATTTGGCGTTGAGATTATTGTGAGAGATCGAGCTCGATTCCACCACTTCAAAGATGGTATTTGTTCATGTGCGGATTACTGGTAATATATGGTCTATTTGATACAATTTGTATATTTCTAGTATCAGTTAGATCAGGTGGAAACAATTTTTGGTGACGAATGTATTTGTCTGTGGCTAATAAATACTTATACGAGTATACAAGTACATATTAAAAACTTTAAACTAGCATTAAAATATGAACTCTGGAGATACTGTCTAATGCTAATTTCTTTATTCATATATCAATCTCTCACACACTAACCAATCTCCAAAAGAACATATATATTTACAAGCAGCAACACAAAACTGCCAGAAGATCATAGCTTCTACAAAAATCAGCTCAAAACCTTAAACATATGAAAAAAATATATGGAGCACATCTTCAACTAAGTCACAGGCAACAACACAAAATCGGCGACTAACTTGCTTATGGAACCTGACTCCAGTATTGTATTATCTTCACTTGCTAAGGCAAACCCTATATGAAACTTGAATATCTGCTGAATATGTATCAACATCTCATGCCCATGTACAGAACTCGATTTGATGAGCTTGTCATGAAATTCCCACTTTTGTGAATTCTTCTGCCACTGGAACATGAAAACATAACAGCGAACATTTAATTAGTCCCGTTATAGAATTTGTTCCAAAAGTTCATGCAGGAAAGATTGAAGTTGCAAGAAATCAGTAACTCAGATGGCTACTCCGTATGTTACTTTTGCATACATGAAAATCCAACTTCTAATTATATGTAATACACATAAAAGTCACACATTGATGATTGATCTACAAACTTCAGTGGTCAACTATTCAAAATATTTGTATATAGGTGAACCAGAGTCACAAAATCCAACAGCAAATTAGAATGTAAGCCAGCACCCATACTGAAGTGAATAGCAATTTGAATCAGCAGTTTCAATTGAAAGATGAACTAGTAAAGTAGCTAGAGCTATACAGACAATTTCCCCATACCATGTACTCACATCAAATACAATTTTTACAATTGCCTTTTTACCATCCTGGAAGCACGACTTTCTCTAATCATGTAAAGTGCAATCAGTTGAATACAAACGTCATAGTCTTAAAGCAGATTTTCTATATGAAGTATAGCAAGTTTATCAGGTGACATAGTGTGATAAAAACTCGACCAAACCCTTGCAGGGCTTTCATCCCGTCTCATCTATAAATCAAGAGACACAGCCATGAACGAAGACAACTTGCAATACCCAAACACCTCCCCAATCAATCTACAATACAATCTATTTCAGTACTGGACTAAGGAGAGATCACATTCACATTTGTAATATAGTTTCCCATAGAAAATTTTGGCAAGCAAAGTCTAGCTATTTTTCTATTGAAATAATGTGGGAGAAAAGTGACTACTTATGCGAACCCAATATGCCAAAGAATTTTTGAATGGTATTGTGTATCATAGCAAGCTCTTTAGTATACCATAATGACAGTTAGGAACATTCTGACCCCATGTCTTCAGTATGAGTTCATAGCATATGGAGGGAATGCAAGAGATGAATGAAAAGTGATATTTATACGAGTTCTATGCTTGTGAAACACTACTTTCTTGTTTTATAATGAGCAATTCTACAAAGTTAAACCTAGGAAGTACAAAGCAGTAGGCAAACATACATTAAACATCAGATATGACCAGAATAAGTGTTAACAAGATAGATAAGAAAACTTACATCTCGAAGTTGATGGAACCACAACAATGTGCATGGTTGTGTTGTTTGGAGGAAGTTGCAAGCGAAGGGGATACAATTTCCCATTCAATTTTGTTCGTGTGCATACTAATATATCCTCGAGCCCAATCTCTTCCTCCAATTTTTGAGTTAGCTCCGCAACACTGTGGCCTTTGAACATAAAGGAGCTACCCTCCACACTATCATTAACACCACCATAGTCATCTGCAACATGGTAATAGATTAGCCTACCATCCTGCTTAGGCGGTGAGTATGTCCCCGAGTCAGTTGACTGCAAAATTCAAAAACCCAAAATAAAATCAGCATTTCAGCACTCAAACAACTACGAAGTATTAGGTAGATCCGTAGATACCCAATTTCTACTCAATCAACTATACAATGAGTATATGACAAACCATTTTCTATAATAGAGTGCTCACACAATTAATTTCCAATTTCAATTGAGTGTGAAAATGGAACATTCCCTCCCTATAAGCCTAAAAGCAATTTCCTTTGTTCATGTGTAAAGTGAGTCACAAGCAAGTCACAAAAAGCACAATGATACAACTTTATTGTTTTTTGTTCATTTGTTCATATTCTTGAACCTAAAAAGTTTAGCTAACTAAAATTGAGTATGAAAATGAAATATCCCCCCTATAAGCCTAAAGTAAGTCACAAACAAGGGACAAAAAGTGCAATGAGCCAATGATACAAACAAGATTTGATCTAAGTCTCGACCTTTGAAAAGTTTAACCAACTAAAATAATTGACATTTGATTTGTTAAGCACATTTATCATTTACTCATTCTTACTTAAAAAAAAAAAAAAAAAAATCAACCAAACAAGTAACATTAAAAGTTAAATACTGGAGTAGTATTACCTCTTGCCTGTCATACTTTCCCGACCCATTAGGAGAAACTGAGCTCAAATCCGACCCAAAAGAATCCAAATGCTCAACCTTATAACCCTGTTCAAGACCCGAACCCGGAATTGGTTTCGCCTTGGGCTTCAAATCCTCCATTTTATTATCCGCATAATCCAAAATCTCAAGAATATCAACATTCCAAACCACCCAATCTTGAGTAGCAGTCCGATGAGGAACATCATGAGTAACAGAATTCCTCCAAGGCGGCAACCCACCGTTGGCCCGAAGATAATTCCCATATCTAGTTTTTAAACGAACCTGTGACCCATCCTTGGTGGGCTCCCACTCAACCGACGAGTCAAGCCTACGTGGCATTGACTGAACCACCTTCCGACCCGTCATCCCCAGCAAAAACGGCTGGTTCGACGCGGTCAGGTATTTCCCATAGCAGCTCTTGAGTCGTATTGTATTGTTCGAACCTTGAACCGGTTCTACGATCCATCTTGCGTTTCGGACTGACCCGTTTCGTTCCTGTGAAACGGATTCTTGGTCTTCCTCTGCGATTAAGTACTTGTCATGGTGGCTCTTTAATCGGACTGTTTTTGCATTGTAGAACAAATCCATTCCAGACCTCTGAAATTGATCAATAAATACTTCGTAAATAAGATATAATCAATTGATGATTTAGAGTTGGTAAGAAATTCGGGGTTTATATTTGTAGGAGAGAGAAAGCGCAGCGGCGGTAGGCGGAAGAGGAGGTGGCGGAGAAAAGAGGGAAAAAGGGTTGAGAGAAATGATGGAATTTGACTGAATCAAATACAAAGGAAAATCAAAGAGTACAGTTGTTATTATTACTCGGTTTTTTTTTTTTGGTAACATTGATGTCATAAAACTCATAATATTAAATCACAACAAAATGTTAACTCATTAGTAATGAGGTATGATTTCTCATTTGCTTGATTCTACCCAATAACCAGGCCTATTCACGACCAAGTTCTCTTCTCTATCTCTTCTACATTGTTAAGCCATTGTTTATCCTACTACCATTTAACCTCACGCTTTATCCCACACAATGTCTGAAAGAAACTTCTGTACCCGTAACATCAATAGAACTGCTGCATTAGCAGAACTAGAGCCCTATAGAGTAGATGGCAGCAGGGCATTCTGGCAGCAGTGCGTGTATGGTTACCTCGTGGTTAGGCCTGGTTATTGGGTAGGGCTACCCAATGGCAAAAGGGTCGGGCCTAATACTAAAGGGTTTTGACCCATTAATTTTTTAATGGACAGGGCTTTTATAGGGTCTTATTTTATAGGGTTTTTATAGGGTTTTATTTTATAGCCCAATAATTTAATAATTAAATAAAGAGCTCAATAATAATTGTAAGGGTCAGCAGTCAGCTACTACCTCTCTTCCATTTTCTCTCTCCTCCATTTTCTCTCTCCTCCATTGAAGCCACTCAGAGTTCTCCATTGAAGCGCAACTTCAGAGTTTTCCATTAAAGCACTCAGAGTTCTCCATTGAAGCGCAACTTCAGAGTTCTCCATTGAAGCGCAACTTCATAGTTCTCCATTAAAGCGCACTCAGAGTTCTCCATTGAAGCGCACTCAGAGTTCTCCATTGAAGCCGCGCACTCAGAGTCTCAGGTAACATCATTTTCTCTCTCTTAATCTGTTATTCAATTTTAATATCTGATTGAAGATCCGGTTTAGGTTATATGATGTGATCGAAAATCAATTCAAATTGGATTTTCTTCTGGGTGATTTTGCTTCTTACTTGAGCTTGGAGAGTGATAAAAGGATTGTGGGTAATTTTGCTACTTATGAGTCTGTTGTTCTTGGTGTTGCTAATGCTGATTTATTTTGGTGTTTTTAATTATAATTTGGGAGTTTTTTTTGCTTGATTATAATTGTGTTTGATCTGAACTCATGGATGAATGATTATAACCCTTAATTTTGTGTGCTAATCATGTCACATATTTTCTGCACTTGTGCCATTGAATGTTTTCATTTCTATATTAGCTACAATTTGAAAATACTTGAATTAAATCAAACCAATAAAGGCTTGATAAAGTATACTATTAATTCATCTATATATTCATACAAAGCCCATATTATCTACTAATATATGTAGTACTTTGAATGAATATAATGTGACTAAGCTGATGATTTAATTATAATTTGGGAGTTTTGCTTGATTTGATTATAGTAGTATAAGAATTGACTAAACTAGCATGATTATAGAACGAGAAAGCAAATGTGGTACTTGTGTGTTGACTGTTAAGGTTAGTGTAGTTGTGATACTACTACTACTACACTGAATTGGAGGCTGGACACTTATAAAATTTAACTATGTAGTACAAGTAGTATTTGTTTTATTACCTTAGCAAAGCACAACAGACCATATAAGATTCTGTTTTCGGATTTTGCTATTCTCCTGATCGAACTCCTAAATGTGCTGGCAGGGCAAAACAATTAATATGGATGATGATACTACTACTACTACTACTTCTACGGCACGTGATGATGGATATAATGAATACATTACTCCGCAACGAAAGAGAAAGAAGAGGTCTAAAGTTTGGAGAGAGCTTATTGAAGGGAAGAATGTTCAAGGTGAGAGAATTGCTACATGTGTACATTGTAATTCTATTTTATCTGCAAATCGTGATAGTGGTACATCTCATTTGAAGCGTCATTTAGAGAGGTGTGCAAATAGGCCTCTAGGACTTACATTTGAGGAAGATAGTGATGAAGAAAATTTTGTTTTTGACATGAATGAACTTCGAAAAGAGATTCTTAATTTCATTGTTGAGGGAGGTCATTCATTCACTATGGTTGAAGAACAAGGATTTAGGAGAATGATGAAAAGAGCTACCCCTAAGTTTAAACCATTTGGTCGTGCAACCACAAAGAGAGATTTATTGAAGGCTTATGTATTGGAGAGGGATAAATTGAAAGATTTCTTGTCTAATGTTTCGGGTAGAATTTGTTTAACAACCGATAATTGGAAATCAAATCATACTAGACAACATTTCATTTGTGTCACTTCTCACTTTGTTGATGATTCTTGGAAACTCCGTAAAAAAATTCTTAGGTTTAGGGCCTTAGCTCCTCCATATGATGGGATAAGTATTGCTAATGAGATTTGTATGTTCCTTTGCCAATGGAAATTAGATGATAGGATACTCTCTATCACCGTTGATAATGCAACTTATAATGATGCAATGATATCTTGTTTGAAGAGACGTCTTGTTCCTAGAGGAGGGTTAAGTTGTGGTGAGACATTGTTTCATGTGCGGTGTTGTGCCCATATTATTAATCTTATTGTGCAAAAAGGATTGACTTGTATTAGTGGAATTTTGGATAAAATTCGTTCATTTATAAAGTTGATCATCAAATCTTCTCATAGAAGTGAAGAATTCTATGATTGTGCGGAGAAGATATTTCACCTTGATGTAAAAAGGAAATTGAACCTTGATATGCATGTTCGTTGGAATTCCACGTATAAAATTCTTGGCACTTCTCTTTACTTCAAAGATGTTTTTCTTCACTTGAGATCTAGTCATGCTTCATTTCAATCATATATTCCTTTAGAGGATGAGTGGGAAAAAGTAAGCGTGATTCACAATTTTTTGGAGTTGTTTTATGAGGTTACTTGTATGTTTTCGGCGGTGAATTATCCTACTTCTAATGTGTATTTTAAAGGTGCATGGATGGTGCATCGCCATTTGCTTGAGGCGGAGAAAGGTCCTTATGATTATTTAAAGGAAATGGTGAAACCAATGCTTGAAAAATTTGACAAGTATTGGTCGGATTACAATTTTTACTTGTCATGTGCCGCCATTCTTGATCTGAGGTACAAAGTGAAATTTGTGGAATATTGTTTTAGTAAGTTATATGGAAGTGTAGAGGTCTCAAGACGAATTAACTTGGTGTTGGGAACTATGAAGTCAATGTTTGAGGACTATAAGTTGCAATATGCTAGTAGTTCACCTATTGTAGTTGCTCCTTCTCCTCCTAGTACTTCCGGAGCTAGAAACTACTTTGATGATTATGACCATTTTGTCGGTACTAGTGCAAGATCTCAAGTAGGAAAGTCACAACTTGAGATGTACCTAGATGATGATGCTTTAGATCTCAATTCACAATTAGATATTTTGGAGTTTTGGCATCAAAGTTCTGTGAGGTATCCTGTGGTATCTAAGATGGCACGGGATTTGTTGACTATTCCTATAAGTACTGTAGCTTCGGAGTCTGCTTTTAGTATTGGAGGAAAGACTGTTTCGGCATCGCGAAGTTCATTAAAGTCAAAAACAATTCAAGCTTTAGTATGTATGCAAGATTGGCATCGTGAAAGCAATCAAGTAGAGGTTGATAGTGAACTTGAAGATGAAATCATTGAAGAAGAAGAGGATGATGATGCAGACCCTTTCTACTAGGTAATATTCTCTTGTTCATTTCTCTACTAATAGTTCTGTTTTTTAGTCACATTACATTAAAGTAGTAAAGATTTGCTTGGTAGTGGCTGTTTCTGTCCTTGCTGGGTGCAACTTATGTCTGACTTCTGTTTTTTTTTTTTTTTTTTTCTGCTGGGGGCTGTAGGTCTTGTTTCTGTGTGCTGCTGGCTTTTTGGTTCTGTAGTTGCTTGTGTTGGTGTGGCTGGGAGGTGCTTTGTAGCTGCTGCTGTTGCTGGAGGCTGTTCTGAGTTCATGAAGCACTCAGAGCCAAAGAGCTTGTTTCATTCCTACTGCTGCTTCATTCTTTTGTGGTATCTGAGAACATTTGCTAAAATGTTGGCAATGAACTAGACCATTCTAGTAGTATTTCGTAAATCTAGAAACTAGTATATTACAATTGATGTAACAGGGTTAGTACTCTTGGTGAACTTATTTTGGCGTGCTGGTTTTCTCTACACAGGCTCTACTTCTGGTTTTATTTTGATGTGAAAGATTTTTATGAGACTTTGATCCTGCATATATCTTTGTCTGAGCACAAGTATACTATTTAAAGATTAGTATACCATTTAAAGATTAGTATGCTATTTAAAGATTAGTAGAAGTTAATGGCCCGTTAATGGCCCGTTTTACTTTTACCTCGACCCTGACCCGACCCTGACCCGCATTGACCCTGACTCGCTAAATATTCATCATGACCCGCAACCGACCCGCCCCGCTAATGACCCGCACCGACCCGCACCGACCCGCCCAATAACCACCCCTACTCGTGGTTTATCAATCAGAGGTGGCACATAAGGGGCTACATTGATGTTTACAAAATGAACGATCTCTATGTATTCAGGTGTTCGAATGATGAGGATAAAAGAGACTTGTTACACAAAACTAAAGCATGTTTCGATGGAGCATTAATGGTGTTTTCTCCATGGTGGCCCAATCAATTGCCACATACTGTAAGATTTAGGAAAGCCAAATTCTGGGTTTGAATTTGTGATCTCCCATGTGAGTATCTCAACTCCCACATGGCAGAGACAGTTGGAGAGCTGCTGGGAATGCCATTCCAAGTGGACTTTGAACCTCAATTCGTACCTAGGAATGATTATCTAAGGATTGAAGTTCTCATTAACCTAGGTAAACCTCTCATCCCAGGATTCTTCTTGAAGCTAGATGATGATGCAGTGATTTGGATCCAGCTAAGGTATGAAAATCTTTTCAAGTACTGTGTTAGATGTGGTAGAATTGGGCACAAATTTTCAAGATGCAGGAGGCACGAAGATCTCATCCTGCAGGATATCAGCCATGCTATGATGCATTACCAATCAAGGGGCATTCCCACCCTTGAAACTGATGAAGGCATCTCGATGTTCAATCTGGATATGAGAGCAACGCCGTCCTCAAAA